CCTAGAGTTATTTATCTGACACACTTAAATTTATTTTTAAAAAAGTATTTTATTTACATCTGTAGGTACTTGGAGATTGATAGACATTTTTCAATGTTTTGATAAACATTTTACGATAAATTAGCACATATTTATTTATTTATTTATTTATTAACTGTCATTTTTAGATAAATCAAAATCAGAATATCTTAATTCCATCATATCAAAGTATTGGAATAATGAAAATGTTTTAAATCTGTGGACCAAACTCTACTAACCACCGAGCACAGACAGTCGTCTGCCTCATGGCAGTGAGGGAGGCAGAAGTAATGATCTTAAGGAGCTAGGTGCCCAATTATGTCCCTGCCATTCCATTATCACCCCTCTATCAGTTATTAGTTAACAAGGATAATGAGCTGTTTCCCATTGCATGTGATGATTATTTAATTATGATATATAGAAACACAGGAAGGCCACGGTGTGAGAGAGGGCTGTCTGGAATTATTATTATCTGGAGATTAGATGATCCACTGGCTTGAACAGAGAGACAGGGAGAGAGAGAATGCTAGAGCGAGGGAGAGAGAGAGAGAGCTAGAGAGTGCTAGAGAGAACGTGCTTAAGAGAGAGAGAGCTAGAGAGAGAAAGAGAGAGAGAGAGAGCTGGGGAGAGAGAGAGAGAGAGTGCTAGAGAGAGAGAGAGAGTACCAGCAAAAAGAGAGAGAGGTCAGTGTATGTGTCATGTTTTAACCCATGAAGCTGACCTGCAGAAGTAAAGAAATCATCTATGGATAGTAAAAACATTTGTTTTGATAAGAAAAAGAATCTTCGGAAAATATAAGGAAGATATAATAAGATCAAAGAAATATATAAAAAAGGAAACAACATGATGTGATCAGCAGTGAAAACTGGAAACTCAAGCAACAGGAGACTGAAAAAAGGACCTCAAAAGGATAAAAATCATTCATAAATTGTGTCCTGTGAGATATAATAATAGTAGCTGGTTGTGCCACTGTAAACACTCTAGTAAACAGAAGACACCAACATAAGGAACATTTAGGAAGGTAGACACTGAGTAGCTGGATTTGAAACTCTGTTCTGGTACAGTACTTATTCCATGGAGCCTGCTTATCCCAGTCCACCTGCACTATATGGGGAGCTAATGGTGTATAAGATGTCTGTGTGGAGGAGCCCAAGGTAAGCAGTGGGAGAGAGAGAGAGAGAGAGAGAGAGAGAGGGTGAGGAAACGAGTGACGTGGGGACAAGGATAGGTGCCACCAGGTGCTGTGTTGTGATTTAGAGATTAAAGGGATGACAGATCTCAACTTCATATAAGATTCAAAATTCCACAATGAATACATTGTAAACAACAGACATTTTACCACCAAAACAGCAGTTACTGCAATAATTCTCAAACCTGTGCTTGCCATTGGAGCATATGCCGACTTTCATAAATGGCTAAACTCTGTAATAATCTCTTAAAAGATTATTAAGAAAAAATTACAATAAAAAAAAAGAAACAATCGACTAACTGTGATTATAGGAATTGATTTACTTAATGTTGGTTAGCATCGGAACATCATCAAATACCCCAGGAAAATTTGTTTTATGGCAGTTTTCCCACCAAAATGAAGAGTTGTCATCCCTTTTTAATGTTAGCTGAATTTTCAATAATGATGTGGTTTAGTTCAAACATTGACTTTCTTTTTTCATCCCAAGGTGTTGCCCTCTACCAGGGCCATAGTTTGAATTTTTCAATATAGATATTTAGAGATTTGTCTCTGGCCAATTCTTTACATATTCCTTTTCTGTCCTAAAATATAGAGTACCAAAGTATTAAGTGATGCACCAAACTAAGACTATTTGGGTAGATATTTAATGGTGCAATGGTCCCTCTCTGCAACGGACACTTTTTATGCAACAGTGCTAAACATGTAGAAATACTTCATTGTCAGTAGATATTTTCCTATTCATATCAACACCACTGGAATAATATAGAAACACAGCTGCCTTTGATAATACTATATGCAAAAAGAATACCACAGAAGTTGTCAGAAAAAATACTTGAACTGTGATTGATATTCCGCGGACAAGACGTGAAGTAAGAAATCAATTATCTATTCCGTCTGAAGCTGGTTCTCAGACGCCCATTACCCCTACCAGTGCCATCTATAATAGATGACACATTTAGAACCTGAATCGGCCGATTGCGTAGACACTGGCTTTGATGTGGTGAAGGCAGATTGACAATCATAGTGTAGAGATCTTTATTGGCAAAGAATTAAAAGAAATAACTTGAAAAGATGTACTACATGCAGATTGTGAACAGGAGTGTTCCTTGGAGACTTAACTGTCAAAGTTGATTTTGAATTGGATGGCTCAATATAGCACGTTGTAGCCATACTAATAGATAAAATGATTAATAAACCAGTTATATTTTAACAGGCCCGTAGCTAGGAGATTCAGGGGCGAGAAGAACCACCCATTTTGTCAGGAAAGGCTCCATTCTGGGTAGAATTTAATCTACATACACAAAGATGTCACTGGAAAAGGTCCACTTTTTTTTTTTTTTTTTTTTTTTTTAAGAAAAAGAACCCCACTTTTGAAATTGCTGGCTACAGGCCTGTTTAAAATATACATGTGAATATATCAAACACGAGGTCAGTGTCTGCTCCATTGTAAAAGGTCCACTTTTTCAGAACCACCCTTTTGAAATTTCTGGCTACAGTCCTGTTTAAAATATACATGTGGATATATCAAACATTACTGACCTAAGGATACAGGATGTAGCTGCACTAGTAGATGTAATGATTAATTAAACCAGTTATATTTTAAAATATACACATGTACATAATAAACATTGCTGATGTAATGGCCTTGAGGTCAGTGTCTGTCCCAGGAGAGGTAGGAGATGGGTAGGAGATGGGTTGAGCATGGATGGCGAGAGCATCAACACCTGGTTTATATCTAGACCAAAGAAAGACCAGTCATCCTATTGTAAACTGTGCTGAAATATGTATAATGGAGTGTTGTATTAAGGAACCAGATTTTGTTTTTTATTATTATTTATTTATTTATTTATTTATTTATTTATTTATGTTTTGCTTTATTATCACTGAACACTGGGAGTTCAAATAGACCAGATATTGAAATAACACTGTAAAAGTTTAATTAGGGTATATTCTGTGAGAGATTTTTGAAAGTTTTATTTTCCTTGGGTGAAAGGGAAAGTATTTTCAACTCCTTGCTTGTGCTAGACCCATCCCTGTTCTTGTTTACCATGATTTGGTGACCCTTTTCATCATTTTAAATGTGCTGAGTGTCAAAGAAGCAAAATGCCAAGCTTCTCCATCTCCTCAATGTATGGCTGACTTGAGAGTTCATCACACCTTAAATTATATGTCGAAGTATCAAAATACCGTTCCTTCTCTTCTTGGACATTACATTCTCAACCTGAAAATGTGGTTGTAGAGTCCAGCCAGACCAATACAGCAATGGCGTGATCATTTCAACCAAGAAAATTGTGAATTTAACAGACACTGTCATTTTTTAATTAAGAAATTCTTAAAATAAGAACATTCCTGTTAAGTTGTAGAAACACAATTGAAAAGCTGACTACCTAATAGTTCTATTCTATACTGTGAATTCACCAAAATGTGACATAAAAAATATATTTTTAATGATTCCACAATTATGTATCTGAAAAATTGATCATTTTTCCTGGTTGATATGATTGAACAATTAGTGTATACTTCAATATTGACTTTACACATGAATACTATGTCTTGTTCTTGCAGATATGTCAAGCTGTCTCCAGGAATAGCCATGAAAGTATCCACTAGTGAATCTAAAAGGAGAAGTAGTGCTCAAAAAGCTCTGAAATTTGAGAAGTCAGAAGATGAGGGCAGCAGCCATTCAAGGTACATTGTGTGTGCAATCAGCTGGTTCCATCCTCAGCTTGTGCTGTGGGCTGTTTGATGATTTTCAGTCTTCTTTCCCTTGGATTACTGCATAATCAGCATTTGTAATTAATTTTTTTTTTTTTTGCTTTTCTTTTTGGATGATTCCAAAAATTTCTATGGTAAAAGTATGTTTCCAAAAGTCATGCAAGGATATTGATATGTTTGATCTGTAAAAATAATTAAAAAATTGACACATGAAAGTATTATTTTCTGACAAACAATAGATGTCAAAGCAATACTGTATGATAAATGTTTGTTCTATTAGGTTGGGAACAGTGTATGGCTTCCATCGTCAGCCGTCTGTTGTACGCCCTGAAAACACTGGAGACAAATCAACAGGTGAGTCACATCCAACATATTTATCTTAACTAATTCCATAGATCAGTGTAGAGTATACCAGACACTTACTTTGAAGATTGGCTCTGTATTTTGCCTGGCCAGTGATGCACTGCTGCTAACAATTATTTGCTTGAAAACATTTGTCCTGTTTACTGTATTTATCACAATTTTGAAACAAATTGTTCCTCCAAAATAAATATTATTTAATGTTTTTGATGTGTTGATTTTAGTGATTCCCACAATAGCATTTTTTTATCAGACGGGAACCAAAATATATTATGATGTAAAATGTCTGAGATGTTGTATTTTCTCTCAGACCCTGGGACTGGCCAGCGGACGGACATTGATGCAGAGGTTGCCAAGAGCCTGCTGGACCTCTCCAATCAGGGGTCAGTGTCCAGAGTGGTCCATATCCAGGGAAATCACCAGGGAGTGGGGGCAGAGGGTGATCTGACGGCATCGCAGAGTGACATCATGGCGTCGCAGAGTGACCTCGCGGCGTCGCAGAGTGACCAAAATGTGCCAGAAGTGGACATTGACAACAGACACGGTATGGTGATTGAATTAGCCCTAATTATTTTGAAAATATCCCCCCCCCCAAAAAAAAAAAGAAAGAAAGAAAGAAAAAAGAAAAAAAGAGAGAGAGAATGTTTATTATTATTATTTAAACAAATATCTTAGCATAGGATCGGATCGTACTTGCTACCATAATGCTTCATCAAGATTTTGAAAACTAATTTTCATATACGGACAAAGTAGGCAACAAATTTCAAGATTTCCAAAGTGTTCTTCTCCAGGCTTATCAAATATTAAGTTAACAGAAGATCCTGGAATTTTATTCTAACTGACTTCATGAAAAAAGCCTACAACTTGATAAGACATAATTTTCTTATATTAATTATATGGTGGAGGCACCCAATTTCCTTTATTATCAACTAAAAATAAAATATAGACAAAGATATTGGAAGTTTCTCCATATTTGTTCCTTGATTTACCAGACCCAAGCTACCAGTATCCGTATGCATTATTCACAAGGTTCCTGTATTTATTAAAATTCTTGCCACTTTCGGCACAGTTGTTCTAGCTAGAGAGATAAACTAGAGACAGCGCACTAATTGGCCTCAGTATTAGCACTAGTCTTGGCAGCGTAGTCGCCAGTATTTTGGCTCCAGTGTTAAGGCCAGAAGAACTTGTATTTCCCCAGTAGCTGGCTAGGTCCATGCGATTTGTTAAGGAGATTTCTGGGAAATGTTATGAAGTCGTGAGCACAGCAGTGCCAGTGCGTAGCGTGTGGCAACTGAACTTTACATTGACCTGACACTTTATGTATGAGCAGGGAAGAAGGGACAGGAGAAATTGATCACTTTGGCTAGGATATTTTTAAAAAAAAACTGAATGACTGAATGATTTTTGTATTATTTTGGATGTGGCTGGTGGCTATTGTGGTGGCAGCCTTGACTTATGTGGAGAAAATAGAAGGTCGACCTACTGTTCCCAATACAAGACAATTAACAAAACCTTAAGAACTGAATATTGTTCCGAATCTTGACCATGTTTCCTTATTACTACCCAGCAGACCGTCTGTGTGGACGCAGTGGTGCGGTCAGTCTGCAGCTGTCCCATGCCTCCTCCTCACAGCCCGCGCCCCAGGGGGCCGCCATGGTGGACACGTATCGTATACGCGCCATTCATCAATACGACGGAGAGAGGTCGTTTATGACAACATCGGAGGGAGGAGTGGTGGAGAGACGGCGCCGGGGACAGAAGAGAAAGGATCTAGAGGGTGCCGGTGGAAGTCCACAAAAGGTAGTTATGATGATAATTTAAAAAATTCAAAGTAGTCATGTTTTGTGAATGTTACAGATACTGTTTTTTTTTTTTTTTCAAGGCACAGATTTCTTAAATTAAAACATTATCATAGAGAGGTATCAGCCAAACTGAAAAGCAGGCTTTAGTTTTATACAGCAAATACATTACAAATGCTACTAGTGTTAAAAAATATATCATATTTAGCAATTTGAAAATTTTGATTTGATTTGAATGACTTTATTGAGTACAAAATTATATACAAGAACTTAAAAGATCATAATTAAAGCAACTATGTACATCACTTTAAAAAATGGAAAAATTAGTACAACATCACTTTAAAAAATGGAAAAATTAAAATTTTACCCAAAAGGTTTTGCCTAAAGGGTCAAAGACCCATGAATGGGCACCCCCCCCCCTCCCCAAAATAAAAATATACAAAAAGTAAAAAAAAAAAATCAACATTAGAACTAAAAATGACAATTTTATTTCTGAAAGATTGATAATTTTCACCCAATGAACCATTTTGAATCATAATAATATTTCCCAGAGAGGTGAGATTTTATTAGGATTAAACAGACCCATGAAGACCTTATATCAACTGTAAAAACAGTTTCATTAGCTATGTTATTGTAATAGACCAGTGGAGATTCTTTTTTCTATAGCTACTTATATTTGTAATATCTGATGAAGTCTGACTGCAAGCAGATGAAATATTGGCTGATAAGACCAGACAAATAAAAGTAGCTATAGAAAAAATAATCTTCACACAAGTCTATTAAAACTGGATGTGCTCTTACATATATATATATAGAGAGAGAGAGAGAGAGAGAGAGAGAGAGAGCAAAGTATCTGTTTAATTCATTTAGGAAAAGTGCTCTACCCATGGTGATAACTAGGGAGATGACATAGAAAGAGAAAAATATATTGAGGCTATCAACCTATAAAAGTTTGATTCTTAGCTGTCTGTGATAACTGTATTAAAAATGTTCCCAGTCCTGTGTCAGTGATCTCTGCCTAGCTCAACAAACCTCCATTTCTTCAATGTAACACAAGTCACAACCAAGTATTTTATTTAAAATTCATATTTGACTATCACAGTCTTAAGTCTTGCACTGTTTAAAGGCATTCCAATTCTATTTAATAGACCTATATGCTAGGGCAGGTTCCTCTGCCTAGAACAGGTTCTGATAGCTGTCAAAAATTTGGTTGTTCTGTAGCTGCAGGAACTTTCTCAAAGTTACACTCGGCTATCTGTAAAGCGGATATGAGCACACTTGTGTACAAATTCTTAGGTTTCATAGAACAGTCTCATTCAAATAATCCAGTTTTGACAACAGAAAGAAGCATAAACATTCAGTCACAAAATGCTAGAAGGATGGTTGGAATAGTGTGCTCAGTGTTTATCATTTAATTTAAAAATGATAAATTTGAGTGGTTTGATATTTCAGGAAATTCCTAGATTAAACTGACTAATTTTAAAACTGATTAGCATCACAGAAGAGAATTTCGACCTTAAAAGGTTAAAGTGTTGACCATCATAGGTTCCATAGCTCTGACCTAGAAGTATTAATAATTCTGGATCTTTTTTTTTCAAAAAAGTTATAAGAATAAACAAATTAATTAATTAACAAAGCAACCACATTTTCATCTAAAACAAATTACAAGAAAGACAAGATACGCTAAATAGATATAACTCTTCTTTAAAGTTATCAGTTGATTTAATTGAGTAAATTTCACCAGGTAACCTGTACCATTCTATTGTACCAGTAGACTGAAGTACAGGTATAATGACACAGATCAAATAGCAAGGTAAAAGTACATACACCAGGAGTAGAACAACAAAGAGAGAGAATGAAAAAATTGGATTTAGTTCTTTTTTTATGAGTATACCATCTCTGTGTTAACTATGGACAGAATTGCAGGACAAAATATAGTAGATAATTTGTAAAAATATATATGTTAAACTTTATTTAAAAAGAACTCCAAGTGAAACCCATCCAGTAAGTCAGTAAGTGATACATTTTTCTAAGAAAAATTCTGGAAATGAAACTGTAATGTATTTAGTTAAAATTACTTCTTATTTTTTAATAACCTTCTGGCATTGCGTAGCATTCAGAAAGGTTAAATTGGTAAGCCAAATCCGGCAGCCTGTTTTTTTTTTTTTTTTTTTTTTTTTTTTTTTTTTTTTTTTAAGTAAGACTTCAGTACTGTGCATTTTTAGGCCAGGATGCAATGCACAATACACATAACTAAAGCATAGGTTTGTTTTAATTTTAGGAAAGGTGTAATAAGATTCATGTGGTCGCATGTGGCCTTGATTTAAGAGAGAAGGCAGTCTTCTTTGTCCTCACTTCAGCTATGGCTGCATGTATTAAACTTGCCATGTGGGTAGTTAAACTTTGTAATTTTAAATGTAAAGATTGTGCAGTGAGATCATGAGAAAATGGATTTCAATACTGGGTCTTTATTTGGAAAGAAGATCATAACATTTCAACCTTTTTCTTCCGGTTTGATTTGAAAATGTCAGTATAATTTAACACGATAAATCAAAATATTCACTTTGATATTAAATTGAAAAGATAACAATATAAGTTGCATGTAAGGGATTCACAGCTTTCCTGCCAGCAAGTAAATAGTGTGATATTGAAAATACTTCCCAGTCAAAAATAATTTGGTCAGGGCATTTGAGAAGTCTGAATAGTTAAGTAACTTGTGGTGGCTTACGAAGGTAAAAGCCATATAAAATATCATTATGGAATGAAAAATACCATTCATATTTTATAAGTTGAGGTATTTTACTGAGCCAGAAGGTCTATACACCTGGCCATGTTGAATACCTGGGCTTCGTGTCTGCAGAAATTAAAGTACAACAATATCTTTTTAAATATATAGAAATGTATGAATCTGTATATATATATATATATATTCTGATCATTGCATCTGTCCATGCCATTACCATCTCCATCCAGCATAAATGTTTGTTATGCTCTGACTTCTAAACTGTTTGTATGTATATTTCAATTTTCATTAAACTTAATAAAGCTGATGAATATTCATAAAATACAGTTCCAGTTTTAAAATCAGCTTGATGGGGCTATTTTTTCTCGAAGTTGTGCTTTTTTTCAACAATACAGATAACTAATAAAGTGGAAAACCAATTGACGTATTGTCTTCAAACTTACAAATTTTTACCGAGCAACTGCAGGCTTTTAACTTTTAAGGGATCTAAAAGGTTTTTAAAGAGTTTTTACCCATCTGCTGTGTCTTATTTTAACAACAAAAATGGAAATTTATAATTTATTTATTTATAATTTGTAACCCGAATAGCAGTCCAATTTCCGTTTTATATGAATTTTATATTTATATATTAATGGCTGAATAATAAACTCTTACAGGACGGATGGATATTACTAAAAACCAGTTAAAAACCACCATCATCAGATTATTTTTGTTGAAGTAATATGCTTTCTTTTGTGGAATGTTCATTTCCCATGTATTGGCATTTTCAAGGTTGTGTGACTTTCAACAACTATGGGCTTAGAGACTTTTGTTAGTCACATCTTCTGATTATCCATGTTACTTTAAAATGGTGGTGATTATGTTGACCATTAAATGAAAGCCACTTAACTTCTGATTCTCAGATACCCACAAAAATCAGCATGACTGAATTATTTTCATGAGAGTTACAGATTTTTCTTTTGCATGTATTTTGATGATACTTGGCCCATGCCGAAGTGCATTCGTGTTATTTGTTCCACTTCATATTTTTCTGTGTTTTACTTCGTTTGGTAATGAGGTAGGTTTCTTTTTGAAATCATCTTGATTATTTGTCCAGACACGCTGTGTCTATGCAAACAGTCATCACCTGCATCAGGCTTTGGCATTTTTATAATGTCACCACACTGTGACCACAGTGTACTTTTTGCAGTTGATGCAATATATGGAAAATTCTGTGACTAATTGTCCTTTAACTTAGTGGAAAGGATTATAGCACTAAAAACAAATTATGAAAAAAAACTATTTTGTGCACTGTCAGCTTTAACTAAATCGTATTGTCAGTGTTAAATAAATTGTTGTGTTCAGTTGATAACAGCTTAGAATACTACTAGTGAATCAGTAGTGTGTGTTGATGGTTGGTTTGAAAACCAAAAGAGCTTGTGAAGAATGGAAAACATTTAAAGTTCTTTCAGACAGGGCATTCCTGATGCTGAGGTGAAATTTTTCAAAATTATTATTATTATTATTATCATTATTAGTATTATGAAATTTTCAAAACTCTTTGCCTTGTAACTTGCCTAGTTGTCAGTGATCCCTTTTTTTTAATTTAATTGGTTTAACCTTTGTAAATGTGCCAAATTTGATGTTGGGTTGCTAGAATTATATTTAAGTCATAAAAGACCATATGAAATAATCAAGGAATAATTTTCATATTACAATAAAGCTATATCATAGGACATTTTTCCTTTCAGAGCCCCCACAGACGGCCTGTTCCCCCCAGCAACCTGCCCCTCCACACAGTGCAGCAAAGCAGTGGCAGTGACCTGGCCCTGATGTCTGGGTTTGCACCTCCCATCTACCCATACGGACTGGAATCGCCAGTAACCCCAGGAGACGGTTCTTCTTACAAGTTCATCCCCGTCCCCCTGCCGAGTCCGGTGGTCAGTTCCAGGAGTCCACTCCGCACTGGGGGTTCTGGACATCAGCTATATCCTTATCATGCCTCAGCGTTTTCTTTGTCTTCCTCTGTGGGCAGTTGTCCAGTGCCCAGTAACAGTGTAGGTCAAGGTCAACAGGTGTCCAGTTCGCTGACCACTATACATCATCCTGTGTCCACAATGGCCACACACAGCGGGAGACTTCTCCACAGTAATCATTTGGTTTCTACAGGAAAGCTGGGTCATGGTGCGGTTGTTATCCCAGCCACCACGTCAAACAACTTGCCTCCCAGCATGCAACAGTTGGTCCACGTGGCGGTTTCTCAGAAGTTATTGTCACAGTTCGCTCCAGGTTCCGCCATGGCACAAACACTGGATGACAGCGGAACGCGGACGGGAGATGCAGGAACACATGACCTGGGATCACACGACCAGCCCATTGACCTCAGCATGCACGATGAGAAGAAATCATCTGTGCAGAAGTTACAGACAATGGTTTCAGACATAGCGGTGGTGGCAACATCACCTCTTTCACCAACATTGAACCCAGAGAGGCAACCTTCTGAGAGCAAGGCCAAGTGTCAGACTTCATCGTCACAGGTCACCTATGTGAGTGGAGACAACAAGGCCCCCTACGAGATAGTGCCCATCCCTGGTCAAGTCATTGATAACTCTGACTCCTTGGTTGATGGTAAATATGTGTGCGCTGTTTGTAACAAGAGCTTTCCACAGCAACACCAGCTGACCCTACACAAGAACATCCACGCCATAGAGCGCCCACACAAATGTGACGACTGCTCTATCTCCTTCCGCACCTTGGGTCACCTTCAGAAACACCAAAGGTCAGAGAGTCACCACAAGTCTCACTCCATTAACAGGCAATTTGGTACCCCGACGACCGATAACCCACGCCCCTTCAGGTGTGAGGACTGTAATATAGCCTTCCGCATCCACGGCCATCTTGCCAAACATCTGCGCTCCAAAGCTCATATTGCCAGTCTGGAAAGGCTTGCCAAGATTCCGCCGGGGGCCCTGGTGCTACTGGAGAAGAACGATCTCAGCCTGATAGATGCCACAGATGGGCAGACGTCATTGGAGAGCATTCAACAAATGTTGAGTGAGCACGAAGAGGGCGCCAGAGGAACTGGTGTCCAGTCTTTGGTCAAACAGGGGCCGAGTGGCACGCCTACCTCCCAGTGGTCGACTCCTCATTGCCAAGGCTCATCTCTTAATGTATCCACATCCTTACCTCAACCTATCCCAGCAACCCACAGCCAGCATATCCCATCATCCTCTGCTCAGTTTCTCCAGACCCATACTATCCCACAATCCCATGTTTGGCATAATCCCTCCAGTACAGTCCAACATGTCCCCGCGTCCTTCCCACCCCAGCCCCTCCTGGTACAGACAACACAGGGAGCACCAGCCACAAGAACTCTGCCTCAGCATGTGAACTCCGCCCCAGTTTACGAGAATGTTCAGTCACAGGGAATCACAACTACAGCAATGGCGAGGCAAGGGTCAGCTGAGAGCCAGCAGGTGGCGCCAGAGGTGCTGGAGCAGCGCAGTCCCCAGAGTGACTCCAGAGAAGATGGTCTCGTGTTTGCATTCTGTGGCAGGGAGGGCTATAGGCCGAACCCTCTCAAGTCCAACGCCAATGTCAGCGTGGAAATCAAGAGTGAGCCAATAGAAATGCATGATATAAAGACTCAGGAGGCTGGCTATGGTGACCGGCACCACTCCGAATCCTGCGTCTTGAAGTGTCAGCTTTGTGGGAAGGAGTGCATCGGTCAGGAGAGTCTGCGCTATCACTTAGGTAAGACACTAGAACAATGACTCGGTCGTTTCAGTGGGTAAAAACGGGGAATTTTACAGATACTGCATTTCTTTAAGTCAGGAGTTATTCAAGTTGGAGTATTCCTATTGAGTGGAAGCAACAAGGATGAAAAGCTGGCTATGTAATAGTTTTCTTCTATACTATAATAGTAAAAACACCAAAATTTTCTTGATTGCTAAATTATGCATCTGAAAAATTGATAATAGTTTCCCATTATAGAAAAAAAAGAGACATTAACGCACTATATGAAAACACCAGCTTTAATCAAGATAATTTAGAAATAAAGTTTTTCTTATTGTACAAATATTTGCTAAGCTATAAATTGCTTACTTTATTAACTTCAAATCCATCTCTCCATTCTACAGTGTTAGATATTCTGTGGAATTGATATTTCTCAACATTTATTTTTCTATATATTTCAGTGGAAAGTCACCATGCAGGTGCCCCAAGACAAGCTGGTCCCTTGCCAGTGTCAGCGCCATCTGCTGGGTCATCAATGGCAGCAGGCACCCCACTGAGAGAATGTAACATTTGTTACCAGACGTTTGGAAGCATTTCTGCTCTCAAGGTGAACAATTAAAATGGAGATTATTTTAAATGTTTATTAGTGTTATCATATACATGTGCCTACATATATTATCTATTGTTTATTATCTACAGCAGAAGTACAAAAAAATAAGGCAAGCAGTTATTTGTACTTCCTTAAAAAAGAAATAGAAGGTGTCACATATCCCCGCACATCCTCACATTGTTAAGTGTAGCTCACACTCAGGGACTCTGTACTTCTGTTATCTATGACAATGCCTTGGCCCTATCAGGAAGATTTTTGCAATGATCTTTATAATAACAGCATAAACTTATGTGCGAAAAAAATGTTCAGTGCAAAAAAAAAGAATTATCTACCTACTCCCGTTCCCCAAGGACCCCCCCCCTCCATACACACATAAATCATGTCTGGTCATTCCACATCCCTTTTTATAGGTCTATCAATCCCAAAAAGACTTAGAAATTCCCCATTTTAATGGCCAAGAAGGAGATAGCTGAAACTACAATGTAGAATATTAAAATCAGCCAACCCCCAGGGACAGCCCTACCCAAAGGCGCACTAAAATTACAAAATGCCCGTGCACTTCTTTGATGATAGGTTTGCCATTTCCCTAAATTTCAACTTCCTCACTCAAATGGAAGAGATAGCAGAAATTACAAAAATTATGTAAAATAATTATAAGAATCATTCACTCCCAACAGACAGCCAAACCCTCTGTTACAAATTGTGAAGTGCTTGTGCACATGCCTGATGATAGATCTATTAATCCCCAGGGTTTTAACTTCCTAACTCTAGTGGTCTAAGAGGAGATATCAGAATTAGTAATACTCAGAACACATGTGTGGGATAACATGATCCCCAAATTTTGTCCCAAAAGTATAGGGATAAAAAATAGTTAGGGTTTGGAACAGAACCTCAGGCTTGAACCATTTAAAGCTTAAACTGATACAGTTACATCTCAAGATAAATGTTATTTTTTAATTTTTTTACTTTCAAGAATGATTTTTGAATAAGTAAGAAAGTGTACAAACGCTGCTTGTTACAAATCCATATACTTTTCAAATCTCACAAGATAAAATTTCTGAACATTTGGACAAGATGTGGGAATTGCAATAGAATTTGTTTGAAGAAGTGGCAAAAAATGAGNCGCCCTACTTGGGCTGCAAGCAGTTATAATTAAGAAGGATTTTTGTGTGTGCGGGCGGCGTGTTTGTGTTAATATGCTTGAGTATGTATGCTTGAGAATTGAACCAGGGTTTGTGCTTGTGTGTGTGTGAGCGTTCGCACGTACGTGCACGCGCGTGTGTGTGTGTGTGTGTGATGTAGAGCCTATTTTTCCATTTGGTGCCGTATTATTATTTGCATCTTATCATCTTTATTGCGCTTTGATAACAATATATCAGATAACATAATCAAATATCGTCAATTTATCTTATTATTCCACAAATATATATATATATACACACAAAATACAAATTCACACAAAAGAGGCAAACTCAGAGTTAAACGTGTTCACATAATTAATATTAACAAAAGTGGAAAAGAGCATTATACATTTTGCTAAATTGTTAATAATAGTTTTAGATAGATATACACAAAACCATGTTGCTTACATCACGCACACACACACGCACACACACACACACACACACACACACATATCACTGGCTTAATCGCACTATGTGATATTTCCCCATTACTGACAGATATAAAGGAATAAACACATGTTTATACTCTGGTCCTTATACACCCTCAATGTAGAAGCGTCAGTGTACGTTGGCATACATGCACTCAGGGAGAAATAAACTGCTTTAAACAAGTTCAAAACAATGTTTTGCGCTGCTTATATCTTCGTTTTAACACGTTGGAATCGAGTGTTGGGAGAACGAATATAGCAATAATAACGGTTTAGAGAACAAATAATATTTGATAAATTTAATTAGTAGAGAAGGGGTAAAAAGGATATTGATTGAAGTTGCTGTAAGCCCCCGTAGAGGCGTTCAAAAATTGTGCTACCGTCGGTATTTCACGACGTCAGCACGGGGTATTGGGTATAGTTTTCAACTAGCAATAACCACGCCTCGGATAAACCTCATTGGCTATGGTACCGCCACTGCGCAAAGCTGATGAACTTGGGTTTCTTCTACATTTTTATACAAACGCAAGCTACCTTTCACAATGGTGTTTCATGACTACAACGTAAGAGAAGCAACGCGTATAATTTCACATTGTATTCAAACAGAATAATGGTAACAAATATCAGACAGAAAACTATTTATTCTTAAAATTGATTTCTGACAAAAATGCTCTTTTAAAACAAACATTAGAAAATTCACGACAGACAGCCTGTTCTTCATGAAGTGTTTATTCGCTGCAGTCTGACTAGTTCTTCTCCTGAGCCTGGAGCCTGCCATCATTGGGACAATTAGACGCACAGAACTCTCTTTACGTCTAATTGGTCTAATGGCTTATTCAGATCGACAAAGGATAGAAAACCAACCAAGGTGTGTTCATTAATTTAGGTCTCGTGTCTGGAAAAGTTAAGCGGGAGCAGGCTCTCAGTAGCTGTTCGTACCGCCTTTACTTGTACCGATACCCAATGATCAAGTGAATTTCCACGCTGACGCCTGCAATATCCCGGAAGTCAAATCTTGCAAAATTCGAGAGAGATTTTTTGCGATTGTTACAGTGAAATGTCCCCAATAATGTCCTGCTCCGGAGAGAATAATGTACGTAGTAGTTATGGTCTGTCATTCTTACTTTGCAGAATGTAATTTTTCTTAATCTCCCAGAGTGTCGAAATCATGTTCACAATCTTTTTAAAGAATAATAAAATAATAACAATAGAAGGATGACATAACGGGCTACATGTACAAGGCAAAAATGTTGATCTGTATAAAGTGAAAACATTTTATTTTTACCTAATCCATACTCTTCTTCCAGCCTGTGCCCATATGCGTATTGCAGGCGGTACGAAAAGCTAATCTGAGCCTACCTCGCTTCATCAGACACTTTTCCAGGTATCGTGGAGGTATAGAATTGACTTTTTTATAAGCACGTTGGACATTAGGAACCATAACATGTCAACGTAAGCAATGATAAATCTTATTTCATATTAATTTTAAGGAAAAAAATATCCTTATATCAACCGGGTTATTGCTGGGATATTTTTTATGGATGTATTCGTCTCCTTATCCCGGTGATAAGATGATATACCGGTATTAAGAAAGAAGTCCACTTGTAGTTCCAAAAATTATATTATTTCTCATTCAGTCACCGCACTGCCAATACGATTTTCAATTGAAAAGTACAATTAAAATCTTGCAGGTAACTGTCTTGAAACTCTGGAGGAAACTGCCCGAAAGTAATAACTTGAAAATAGCTACTTGAAATTATCTGTAGCTGACAGCAAGTGAATTTAGGGACTGTTCACATGGAAAATCTATTTTCTAAAAATCTAAAAATCTATTTTCGGTATCTTGTGATCACGGTCTGTGCCCTGAATACCCCACGGCGTAATTACTGGCAGCGCTAGCCAGTTACTTCCAAAGCTGTAATTAATTATCGGCGCTGTGGGTTAGTATATAGGACGAACCTGTACAAAGTAATGGGAAGCGGACTACAGTTCCTAGCGGACTTCCATTCCCGTTTCACCGGTCTTCCCCTTCCTCTCCTGGCTCTTTATCGACCTCCCAAACGCCTGGTATTTGGTGAAATTGGCACTTATAACGGATATAGGCAGCCCAGTGAAGACCATACCCAGCACCACACACACACCACCAACCACATATCCGCTTACTGCGGTTGGATACATATCACCGTAGCCAACGGTTGTCATGGTAACTACTGCCCACCAGAAGCCAACGGGAATATTTTCTATGTTGGGCGACGAAACTGACATTTCTGCATAAAAAATAAGCGGCCCAAATACCATAGAGCCCATCAAAAGAAGCAGAATTAGGAGTCCGATTTCTTTGCCACTTGCCTTCAGCGTCAAGATCATGACCTGGAGGCCGCTAGAGTAGCAGACGATACGTGACAATCGGAGCACGCGCAGACTTAGAGACATCATTCCCAAAAAGGTCAAGAGAAATACTGGAACCACGGATCCCAGATTTACTACCGTGTCGATGATTGTCATATACATGGTAAACCAGCACCAATGGAGAACTGCCCACAGCAAATCAATAATTGTGAACGCGTTTTTAAGGAATCCACGCATGTCTGGTGTCACGCAAATTTTTACCAATAATTCCAACGTAAATAAAGATGTGACGACGATATCTGCGTAGATTAAAAACGGATGAGAACCTTTCTGCAAGTAGAGCATTTGGTGATCGCTGAACTGTAATTTGTCTTTCAACAAAGATGTGTTCACTGGGCGTTCAACGCGATATCCCTCGATACTATCCAGCGCAACGGTCCAGATAGAAGTGAACAAAAGTAGAAGGTAGAATGTTGTCCATGCCTGAAAAAAAAAGATTTTTTAAACACATTTTAAATATGGAAACCTGCTCAGTATATGTAGGACAAGCAAAAGAAACGACAAACACAGGCATACGTGTACCCGTTCTATGCTTTTTTGTTTCTCAACATGACCTAACAAAGTTCAATTCTTTATTACACATATTCACCCTCCTCCCCCACCCCTCCTTTATTACCAGAAAATGCATTATATATTTATTACTCATATGGTGATTTGATTTGGGGTTACATTTGTTATCAAAATGCTATTTGGGAAATGAGAGAGAATCTCCTTAAATTGGAAAAAAGCTGTTTTAAAGTGTGACAACCGCTTAAGCAATAGCGCACATGTATATACATACATATGTGTATCATTCTTTTAAGTAAAACAAAAGAATAACATACAAAACGTGACATTTCGTTTTGTGATCTTTCTTGGTGGCGGTTGTTTTGGAGAGATGGGATGGGAAATGATGTCAAAACAACAACAACAAATACAACTATAATAACATCTAGGAAAGCACTCAGAGAACTCAGACCTCCGCCAAGGAAGCTCGATTTTTCTTCTTATTTATAGTAAGTTTGTTGATAATTCGATTCTCATCATTATTATCAACTAATAATGAACTCAATTCTCATCATAAATAAATCAATGAATAAAATGAATAATTCATTAATGGATCACGACAAAGATCTAATCCATTTCTGACCTATCCTAAACTTTTATTAAAATTCGTCCATACGTGTTGAAAACAGACAGACATAAATACTGACAAACAGATGATCAGACAAGTGCAATAAAAACAGAACCAGCCTGACGGAGGTAATACTAGGTTATCACAGAGAAATTTGATCACAATAAATTAAGGAGTATCTGCCCTTACAACAGCAGCACAACTTCTATAACCTGAAATATACACAACTGCTACGAAACCGGTGATACATGTATAACCAAAGAAAAGATGTCCCGAGTCCATCATATTAAACATCATGTATTAGAGTAATCAAGATGCCAGTCGTTACCTTTGACCCACGAGATGAAGAGGGATCATATCAAACATCATGTATTAAAGTAATCAAGAAGCCAGTCGTTACCTTGGCCCCTCTAGATGAAGTGGGATCACTAAGAAATGACCACACTCGTTGTTTCCAAGACTCACAGCCTCCTTCGTAATGCGTTGTCTTGGTGGTTTTGAAGAAATTGAACTCTTTCTCTAATTCTCTTTTTTCCTTCTCGAGAATGTCGAAGTTCTCCAAAATTCCATGGCAACATGGCGCCAAATCACATTCTGATATCCCCCAGAATTTCAGTTCCAGTCGTATCAATGGAACACACAAATCATGTGGAAAATGTAAGATATTTGTTCTGTAAAAATTCAGAATGGGCTGAAAGTACATGGAATCCCGATCGAAATATATTTCATTCGGCACAGACTGTGCACTGTACGTGAAATCCGCGGAGAGTTTCCCTAGTCTTGTAAGAGGCAGTTTGTTTAAAGTGGTGATCAGCGTTCGGAATTGTGTGCCTGCTATGTTGATTGTCACCGTATCTCCAATGTGATTATTTTTACATGTCAACCAGGCACTTTCAACATCACTGTATTTGTCCTGTTCAGACATTCTCTTCTATAGTTTCCCTTTCGTTGTATCCGTTAAATGGATAATACACGTCTATTCCAGTGTTGAAGCTGCACTTTCTTCTCGCTGGAAGTAACATAAACGAGATTTGGCTTAATGTTCGAGAGAGACTAGCAGGCTCTCCACAGCCAGTAAAAGAATATCAGTCAACTGCACCACATACTGAAGTAAGCACGGGCCTTGTGTCCTGCAGTAAACTACTAGGCACAGGTACTTACAGTAGGGGTATGGGAGATATCGGCAGCCGTAGCAGTCCTGGACACGTTCTATACGCAGTGTGCAGCTGCTCACATATTGTTTTTATTGATTGCCAGAGAGTGTTTCTTGGCAAGCACATTAACGTTAGCGGCCCCTGGGTGACTGCACATTTGGGAATCCAGTATCCAGGAAGCCAATATATATATATATATATATATAACATCAACATTCCCCGAGGAAAGAGGCTCCACGTTAAATGGTGTTTTATCTACGTTATGTTATTATGCAGTCCGTTGGTACCTCCCATTCAAGACTTAAGTGGATGTAATTTAGTCTTGGCGCGGTGCAGGCAGCAACTGTTGAAATGTTGGGCACAGTGGTCTGGTTTGCACCTAAAACAGATAATTCATCCTTTGAAAATTGTGATTTAATAGTCATTTTCTAAACTTAAAAGTTTTAAAAAGATACGGACACTGGATTTTCTCGAACAAAGTGAGGACATTGAACTCAACCAAGTTTATTTGCAATTGCCGACTCTATTTTGCAATGCGTTAAGTGATGTACAAATGAAACTGCTCTGTTCGATGTTTATTTATTAATACCAGACCTCTCCTCATCGGTATTATCCTACATTAAATTGATGCACTGCCTTTGAAAGAGCTGCCGAAGGTTTTTATAAAAAAGAGCCAATGCCATTTGAAGCTGTTATACTTCCATGTCAGCCACAGTCACTTCTGGCTGTGCACTTCTGCTTATTCTTAAATTGTTACCATCACATCACATCTTCCATTATTTCACAACTACTGAAGTGATATCAAGGGAATGGAAGATTAATGCATATTTCCAGTGATGGTTGTTACAATTTTATTTTAGCAACGATGATCAGCCCGATGAGAATAACTTGACAAAGAGCGCTGTTATGTATTACAACTGAAATCAATTTCTTTATTACGCTAAAAAAAGGCTTCGATGGGTAATTATCGCATATCTCCCTCTTTGCAAGTGTCAGGTTTCCCCTGCTATGATCTGGCAGACAAATTACAATGTGTTAAAATATCATTCATTGGAATAGTCCCCAAACCAGGCGCACTTCAAATGAAAAGTCCGTGCACATCACTCATGATAGGTTTCTATCACTGTCATGGTATAAACGAAAGTAGTAGAAAATATAAAGACCACCCAACCCATGGGTTTGAGTTAAGAGTCAAGGGGTTAGGGTTAGGTTAGGGTCAGGGAAATTCAGGGTCAGGGTTAGTATAGATAATACATTTGTATCTAACACAAATGTTTGTATGAATTAATTGAATTAGTTACTATTAGAACTAAATAATTTAAGCTCAGGAGATGATTTTAAAAAAGAACTAAAAACATCTTTCTAAAAGTTTTTATGATTGACCATGTAATACCTTACAAAGCATAACATATCTTTTGAATAATATACATGGGAGGAGGCATACTAAAAGGAAAACAGTTTTGACACAAAAGAAAAAGAACAGGAAAAGAAAAGGAATAGACCAGACAACTCCATTGTCGTGAACTGGGGCGTCGATGTCTGGTTTTCTGATTATGAAAGACATATTTTGGTGCTTCATGTCAAGTGTGGAAGAGATTAGCTGAAAACCGTGAGATAGGATCTGCGTCACACGATGGTGGTTTTTTCCACCTTTAAGCTGCCATTTCTTATGATAATCAAACCAATTTGGTGTTCCTCAGAGAAACCTAGCCACTGACGTGTATTTGCAAGTTCAGGCTTCAGAAAGGGTGCCATTTTTTTCAGCTCGTCTTTTTCGTACCTTTTCATAACAAGATGGCGTTTCCTGCTTTCCGACTCCACGTGATAAGCTGAAGCAGGAGTTCTTGTTGAGCAGTGGGTTAATCTGAGCAAACAACCAGGAACTGGCGAAGTCAGTACCTCCAAAGAAAGATAACGTCATCCGGCTCTGTGATTAAATTCTTTAATAACTCTGTGATTAAATTCTTTAATGACTCTGTCATATTATTATTTTATCGTACAGCGTTGCCTTTGGGTGACTCTACTTTTCTCTTGTAATCCCTGCTTTCTTGAATGTTACATACATAAATAACCAATAAATTTACATATTTAATTTATAATCGATTAGCAGATGGTATCCAAAAGAATAAAATAATCCCCAAATATACTGTAAACACCCAATCCAACAATTTTATACTTAGAAAAGCTTGATCTGATTGGCTGGTTACCCCAATAAAGGGACCACTTACTGCTGACTGAACCATTGCATCAGTCAAGGTAAGGTGTTAAGGGTTTCTAGTGTTGTATATGTTACTTAAACCAGGGAATTATATCGGATATATACTTCCATGCTTAAACTTAGCGTTAAACGTACCCTAATTCAAGTATGTTGTTATGTTTCCTTTAACAGTGTGTTCTCATGTTTCTTTTAGAAAATGTCTGGATTCGTGACAGTCCTAGTTACAGTGAGTTTGTCCTGCGTCATTGGAAAAGCGGACGCTGTCTGCTGCCGCCCGGTTGTGGGTAATTTTTGCGGGGACTGTAGTTATGTAAGTCTGCCAAGAGTCATGAGATATACGCTTACGCTAGGGTAAACATAAGCACAGAACACACTTTTGCCACTTAGACATTTCTTAAGAGATACCCGGGGAAATAATGCCTTGTTTTTGGAAATCAGGAACCGAGAAGTAAAGAGCGTGTATCTATACGTAACACTAATGTATAAAATGTCAAATAAATATATGCACATTTACACTGGAAGAGACTAATTTATAGAAATTGAAAATGAGGACCATTTTTAAATAAAATTATCCTTCAGTTTCTTTTTTAATATTTTTCTTTGAATGATAGAATGCCGAGTTAATAGTTTCTCCTTTAACTTCAGACATGGTATCACTGCGGAGTAGGATCCTGTGACAGTCGCATGTGTAACTGTGAAGGAGGATGCAGATCCGGTTGCTCCAAAATTACAGTTTCCGGACTTTTCTCGTAAGAAAGAAGTATTTTCCTCCCATAATGCTTTTAATTTGTAAGCACTATAAACACTGCATTTTTTAAGTTGAATATGAACCGATGTGAAAAAAATCAAATTCATTATTGAGAGCCATAACGTTAATATTTGTCGAACAAAAGAAAGAAGACANCATTGACGCTAGTGTAGTATTCAGTAACACTGATACAGACAGGTAAGTGATGTAGGTGTAGATTACAACATTGACGCTAGTGTAGTATTCAGTAACACTGATACAGACAGGTAAGTGATGTAGGTGTAGATTACAACATTGACGCTAGTGTAGTATTCAGTAACACTGATACAGACAGGTAAATGATGTAGGTGTAGATAACCACATTGACGCTAGTGTAGTATTCAGTAACACTCATGCAGACAGGTAAGTGATGTAGGTGTGGATAACAGCGTTGACACTTGGGTAGTATCAGTAACACTAATAGACCCCATTTCCAGAGATTAGATCGATCTACTTTAGATCGACCTAACTCCCTGGGGGTCCACGCTAAATAGCTGTCAGACGAGCGGACACGAAAGTTAATTACCCCCTTACAGCTTGTAGTAGGCGGGACGGACATTTAAGCCGGATTATCTGACAGTAATTTAGTGAGACTCCCCGCGGGGATAGATCGATCTAAAAGCTCTGGGAATGCAGTCTATGGCATATAGAGACAAGTTGGTGACAGAGAGAACAGAGTACATAGAAAAGTTTATATTTTAAATGTTACATGCAAATTAGAAGTGGATTGCCTTCATAATTCTGATGTAAAAACAACGAATAAGCATGTGTTCAGTTGTAGATTTGTATTATGGTATTCCTGCACATAAGGTTTTTAGATTAGCAATTACATTAACTTTTTAACAGATTATTACCGTCTGTTTGGAGTTTAAAATACATTTTACTTGAGAATTATTCTGACCATGTTCTTATTATTCTGTTTCAATACAAAGTAACAATGTACCATTAAGAAATGAGCTTAAGTACGTACATGTAGAAATGAACAGCGTGTTTTAATTACTATTTTATTATAGAAATAAGCAGCTGTCCAAAGATGAATACATTCGTGCCGCAATGAACCTGAACAGAAACACAGGACATACACGCTAAATTCATGGAAAAAAGACAAAAATGGCGACGACATGATCAGTTTGGATGAATTTGAAACAAAAAGTGAATGAAAATGGCAAATATCACTTTCCGTTACTAATAATGTATTGGTTTCATGTAGGACTTCAAAGATAAAACCAACGGAGTTTGAAAAGCATCAGCAAACGTTTTATTAAATTTGAAAGGAACACTTATTTGATGTTAACAAAAAATATGTCTGACAGTACCGTACAACGCGGGTTGGCATTAAGTTTCTATCCCCAGTTTGAAAAACATAATTACATTTAAATTGTCATTCTTCGTGAAAATAAAGATGCAGAATATAGGTCTCTTTGTTAATTTTGATGCAATAATAAATAATGCCACGACAGCACAGTCAATCAACACTAAATTTTAATTGTGCAGGTAAGATGGTCAATAAGATAACAGTTATAGGACCATGAGAGTTCAAATTTGCATAATGAAAATCTCAATATGTGAAAAATTATGACAGTGCATAAAATAATATTACATAATGTTTAACGGCATTAACGCCAATAGTATAGCTTATATGGAAATACAAAAAATGTACAGAGCTTCAGGTGGATTGGAGTTAAGTCACATTCGAAAATGCCAGTGCTTGAAAAACATTAAAAAGAAAACATAAAAAAAATATATTTTAATAAAGCTACTATTCAAACTTTTTATCCAGCTGTATTAACATGACATGAATTACCCCGTTGAGCTGGAGGATAATAAAGCACTGTTCATCTAAAGCATTCATGTTGGCATTCAACAAAATATTTTTTTTCTTCTTTAAATTTATTTGCAATATGAAACAACGTTTACCTGCATAATCATCACTGGTTATTAGTTATGTGACACAAACTATCTGGCAGCCAGCTAAACTGGTGAGAGTGAATAAAAAAAGCCAAATTCACTTGCTGTTAAAAATAATGCATTGGTTTCATGTAGGCCTTCAAAGATAAAAACCACCTGAATTTGAAAAGCGTCAGCAAATGCTTTTTATGTTTTTATTATCTTTGAAAGAAAAAGTCTGTTTGATCTTTACAATACGAGTCGTATATATTTTTGACAGCACCGAAGAATGCTGGTTGACGTTTAGTTTTCATTCCCAGTATAAAAACATAATCACATTCTAATTGTCATTTGTCGTGACAGTGGTTTGATAAAAAGGGTTTTTCATTTCATAGATAGATCATTCAAATGACGTAGATAAAATGAGCAGAACGCTATAGGGTCACACAGTCGGGAAAAGTAGACTAACCCTTACCATACACTTATGAAATATTGTGTGATAGCAATATACCAATAATAAACTGCACCATTTCCACGTTTGTAATCATCTAGTGAAGGACTTGTATAAACTGTTCTTTTTTATTATTAGAGAACGGAAGAAATTTTAAAAGAAAATTCAGAAAACTGTTATATGCCGTGGCATTGCCACTACCTATGTTTAAAAATTTACTTTAATGCATTATGATATAGAATTATACTGAAAGAAAAAATATTTAAGATTAATAAAGAAATTTAAAACCAAAGGCACAAAGCTGAGGCGCTGCCACAATCCCTATGTTAATAAGACCTTAGGGCTGGTTATTCAGGTTATTAGTTTTGCCTTTATATAAATGTTCAGCTAAAAATTCAAACAATGAGAAATTTGGGTGTAGGGGATTGTCCGAGGAGAGAAGATCCTAGAATACGCCGAGACACGAGTCTAATGATCCACCGCTTGAAGTTGTCTCTTCCACACAAGACTGCGGTCGAAGGCGGATAGCGGTGAAAGTGAAATAACAGGTTATCCGTTCAATTCTTATAGCCGGAATAAAACAAGAAATAACAACTTCTGACGCGGTTCAGTATTATTTTAGTAATTGCGAAGAAAATTTCGCATGTCTATTGCTATAATTCTCGTGTGTGTGTGTGTGTGTGTGTGTGTGTGCGTGTGTGTGTGTGTGCGCGTATGCTAACATGTTTGTGGTAAATTTTTGTACGACCACACAGGCAACAATTTTAGAGGTTCTAATTTCAATTTTTTGTAAATAGAAGATACACCAAGAATGAACTGATTTGATTTTCATAAGGATCGTTCTTACCGTTTGTTTGTAAACAAACTTCTGAATTTGATATAATATTTATCTCTGTACAGGGGCTAAGGGGGTGGCTCAGAGACAGGTAAGCAATAACCACGCCTCGGATAAACCTCATTGGCTATGGTACCGCCACTGCGCAAAGCTGAAGAACGTGGGCTTCTTTACGCATTTATAGAAACGCAAGCTACCTTTCACAATGGTGTTTCATGACTACAACGTAAGAGAAGCAACGCGTATAATTTCACATTGTATTCAAACAGAATAATGGTAACGAATACCAGATAGAAAACTATTTATTCTTAAAATTGATTTCTGACAAAAATGCTCTTTTAAAACAAAAATTAGAAAATTCACGACAGACATTCTGTTCTTCGTGAAGTGTTTATTCGCTGCAGTCTGACTAGTTCTTTATACCTGAGCCTGGAGCCTGCCATCACTGGGACAACTAGAACTGGCAGACGCTCAGAACTCTCTTTACGTCTAATTGGTCTTATGGCTTCTTCAGATCACCAAAGGATATCAAACCAATCAAAAGATCTTACTTTAATTCATAGCCCTCGAGTCGTATCAGACGTGTACAGTATATCCAACTGCGAGCTTTAATAATCCATTGCCAAAAGTAACAGAGCAGCTGTAGAATTTTATACACTTAAATGTGACCAAAATGTTTTCAAAAGCATTCGTATAATGATATTTGTAATCATGACGGGTGTATGTGTAGTTAGGATCTTCAGAAATTGTCGGCCTTGTGCCACAGTGAAAAAAAAATCCTGTCTTAAAAATAATGAGGAAATGTATGATTTATTCTTTCTATATTCTTAAAAGAGCGGAGAAACTAGCCGTAATCTCGCATACAGAGACTGACAGGTCGCCAGCTTCTTGAATATAATAATAATAATAATAATAATAATAATAATAATAATAATAATAATAAACCCTACTCCTGTCCTGATTACTGCTGACAGCAGTGTCATGTCGTGTATGTGAGTCCTTATGTTCAATGTGTATGTGAACTTTTACAGGTGTGTTACATGGTGTCTTAGAGACCGTGCACATGAAAAATCTATTTTCTAAAATGGTGTCAGAATCTCCTCCGAGAATTAATTACAGCTTTGGAAGTAACTGGCTAGCGCTGCCAGTAATTACGCCGTGGGGTATTCAGGGCACAGACCGTGATCACAAGATACCGCAAATAGATTTTTAGAAAATAGATTTTTCATTTGAACGGACCCTTATCTTTATTGTCCTATGGGCGAGCAACTGCAGAGGATAAAAGAAATTGGAAAAGATAGCTAAGAAGAAAAAGACGTGCAGTGATTGTGAAGTTTCTAAACTTATTTTTTATTATTTGTTTTTCCATTTTTTCATTAATAGAAGCTGATAAATTAAAAACAAGACTTCATTTTTCATTATATTTACTTATTCAAGTTTGTCTCGTTTTATTGAAAATATTAGAAGATCAACTTGAAATGATTAAATTATACAACACTGATCAAAAGGGAGGAAGAGGAGAGCACGCTAGTCACCCCCAGTTTCATGTGCTTTCTTTATAAATGATCACATCACAGGAGTTAATTGTTATGAATGGTGATTTTCATTTCAGACACAAGAACTACATGTAACATGATTAAATTAATCAACAGTTAATAATGGTACAAAAAATACAAACTAGCCGTGAAGATAATGATATCCATATTTAACACCATTTGTTCACATTTATTACATGTACCCCCTTAAATCCGATGTTTCACTGTCATTTCTACAGAGGTAAACAAATGCCCATTAAATTGAAAAGTCATCACCGATATCACCAAATTAACACATATTTAGCATTAAGATGTGCTCGTTAAAGGTCACGTGTGTGTTTACCGCGTACTGTAATTATCTCCTGTAGGCGGCGCCGCCTGCCTTCAACAAAGGTAACAATTCTATTTTGTGGGTTAGTGTCCTATTTTTTCTAAAAACCTTGGCGGAATTGGTCCAGACTATTAGGAGTTTGGGTTTTCCTTTGCATTGCACACTTCAATTCATGCCACGGGTGTTCAGTAAGGTTAATAACAAGGCTCAAAGATGGTTGGTCCGTCCTCAAAACAAAGAGTTTCTGCAACAAGAGACGAGAACTGTATGCGAGTGAATTACTACGATGACGCCTGCAGTATCCCAGAAGTCAGCTCTTGCAAATGGAGAGAGAGACGTGGAGATGGCCGCCGTGGGGGGGGGGGCCAGAGACGTGGGGATGGCCGGTGGGGGGGGGACAGAGACGTGGAGATGGCCGTGGGGGGGAGGCAGGGACGTGGGGAAGGCCATGGGGAGGGGCAGGGACGTGGAGAAGGTCGTGGGGAGGGGCAGGGACATGTAGAAGGNGTGTACATGTATATGTAGGCCTTGATCAGCTTCAGTGATTTCAGCCATTGCCCCCGTGGATATCCAAGCGCATTTTGGTTTTTGTCGCGAGTACCAAAGATGAAATAAACGGTGTTATAACATAGGGATATTTGTTCTCAACTAAAACATTTTCCTATGCGTCAGGAGAGCGCTGGAGAACGAAGTGCTGCACATAGCTGCTACAAGGGAGGACTCTATAGTCAAATGATGCATTTTCTTAAATTAAAAGAAACAACTTCTTGGAAAAACAAATAATATTTTTTAAGATTTGGCATGAACTCATTGCAATTAGACCCCTACAAAGAAAATTCAGCAGGCAATGCCGAATTTTCTCCTTTCTTAGTTCGCACAACTGAACTCGCCTAGTGTAGAAATGGCACATGAAAAACAAATATGTATGTCACGTTGAGAGGGGCAAGGACGCGAAGAAGGCCGTGGGGAGGGACAGGGATGTGGAGAAGGCCGTGGGGAGGGGTAGGGACGTGGAGAAGGTCGTGGGGAGGGGCAGGGACATGTAGAAGGCCGTGGGGAGGGGCAGGGACGTGGAGAAGGCCGTGAGGAGGGGCAGAGACGTGGAGATGGCCGTGGGGGGGGGGGGCAGGGACGTGGAGAAGGCCGTGGGGAGGGGTCATCATGGAAACGGGTCGTCATGACTGGATAGGTATATGAACTCTAACGAGAGCATTTTTAAAACGCGGATGATTTTCAACAATTTCCAGTCCACTTGAGCGTCTCCACCGTTTTATTTCAAATAATGCGTTCATAGATTTGGAAAATCTGGAGAAATTGACAGCTTTGTGTTTACGTTTTCAGAAGTTTAACATATTGGCTCACATATTGTGATCACACGTTCATGTATATAACTAAGAGTTGGTCTGACACGTGTTAAGGTAGGGATAAAGAAAACTGCGTTACTATAACATGTCAACGTAAGCAATGATGGATGTTATTTCATATTAATTTTAAGGAAAAAATTATCCTTATATCAATCAGGTTATTGCGGGGATCTTTTTCTGCTTGTATTCGTCTCCTTATCCCGGTGATAAAATGATATACCGGTATGAAGAAAGAAGAAGTCCACTTGTTGTTCCAAAAGTTATTTTATTCCTTTTTCAGTCTACGCACTGCCAATACGATCATCAGTTAAAAAATACAATTGAAATAGTGCAAGTAACTGTCTTGAGACTGTCTGGAGAAAACTGTCCGTAAGTAATTACTTGAAAGTAGCTACTTGAAAATATCTGAAGCCGACAGCAAGTGAGTTTGCACGAAGATGAGAATAAACGTAACTGCAAGTAAAGAAGTAAGTATGTGAGAGCCAGCGGTTTCTTTTCATTCCCTCTTGACCACCACGCCCAAACGGTAGCCAAACCCCCCTGGGGGTGGCCCTACTGCGCTGAAAGGAATGAAAATACCCAGAACCCCACTACTCGCATGTATCTGGACTACGAGGGCCCCTGTACTAATACTGTACCACAGCAGATCAGCTGTGGTGAGGACTGCCACGTGTAAAAGACGTTCATACACCTATACCAGTAAGTAATTCCTCCGTAGGTTCTTCCTATTTTTATTGTTTATCCTATTTAAAATTTAAACTATTATTATCATAACTATAATCATATAAAGTATGGTTGAATATCGTGATACAGAAGCTGCAAATGGTTTAGTCTACAGCATCCAGTACTGACAGAAACGAAGGGAAAAAACGGTAAAACTGGATCGAGTGCGTGGGATGAGGACAATATATTTATTCATAATGTCCATAAAATGTCAACAAAATTCGTGTAAGTTGACACCTACGAGAGGTCTACATTTAAAAATGATCAAACAGATCATGAAAAGCTGTCAAAGTTTACGCCTGGCGACATCTACCGGTGGGGTGAAGGATGGACAAGAAGGTCTTCTGCCCCCCTGCGGTCACTTCACATGTTAACCCCTCAGCACAGGGGCACCCTAGGGGGCGCTCTGGGTTGTACGAGGCGGCGCACCTTTCACCTTCTCCTCCTAGAGGAAGACACCGTTTCGGTGGATTGAATCTAGAAGAGAAGAATAGGATATAAATTATAAAGATTAGTAAGTTCACTCAAGATACATTTATAAAATGGAAAATGACATAATTTTTAAAAACTGAGCTGTGAAAACCAAAACAAAACATATAGACTCTACGTATAAATTATATTCTTGAGAAATTTAATGAAATACACGACCGGGTACAAAGAATGACAAATGTAAAAATAATCTTAATTTAAGATGAGAAAGGAAAAATGAAAAATGTCGATAACAGAACGTGAAAAAGAATAAACTAAAATGGTAACAAAAGAAAATGCATACAGAATAAACTACTAACCCAGTGCCAACAATGGCGCAGCATTCGTTCTCATCACAGTCGAGGTTACTGGAGCACGCATTCGGGTCCACGCACTTCCCCGTGGGGTATAGAAGGGCAAGGAATGTCGGCTGTCCCTTTGAAGGCCTGCGGCCAATACACTCCAGTCCTTCAGCACAAGGACAAACCAGGGGTCGGTGTTGCAATCGGTCGCTCGGCATGGCGCATGTGTCCCCGAGGTCGGCCAGCGGGGTACACTCTCCGCGGTGGAGGCCTTCACGGTGACGAGGACTGGAAACAGTACCATCAAGTAGTTAGTGCTCTCTAACGATGTACAAAATTATTTTTTTAAAATGTTATTTGAGAGTAACTTTTGAATATACCAAAGTTGTTGACTGAATGATATTAATTGTCGTAGAGGTAATTCAATATTCTAGTGGCTTGGTATGAACTTCCAGCAGAATTAAAAAGGAACAAGAAGGCAATTTGCCAGCGCAAGATAGGCCTAATTAATCTAATGCATAAACGCATTTTATATAATAGAAGCGAAGGTATATCACATCATAAATAGACTAAAAACTAGTATTCAGAATTCCCTTTCCGTTCAATAACAAGAAATTTACACAATATCCGATCATAAATTTTACAATATCCGATCAACAATTGTAAACATATCCCTGAATATTAAATGATTACCTATATATGTGGTCCAAAGTTGTCGTTATCGTATAGTGGTGAAAGAGTGGAGTCAGATACATATATTAATTGTTATTAGATGGGATCCTGTCAAGGTTCTAATAAACATTACTGTGCAGATTTATGTGATCTAAACAAATTGCTCGCATTGATGCTGATTTCCATCACGTGATTGTAATAAGGTACATATTACCAAAAATTGAGCATTCGTTTTTTTTTTTTTTTTTTTTTTTTTGTATCATAAAACCTGCAATTACCAGAGAATCTAGTCGATTAAATCATCAAAAACTACTTCTCACGGGGAAATGACTACATGTTAACCAGATAATTGGAGGTCTGCAGGAAATAGCACAGGGCAAGTTTTCCATCGTTAATATGACGTGGGTTAATTGTTAACTGATTGGGAGAAAAATTAGCAACGGTGAGTTTTTTAAACATAGAACTTCTGTAATTTTATCGGTCAACTGAAACCCACTGAAGGACCCAGGCATTGCTTGCTGAAGTTGGCACGCTCACAACCCCCCCCCCCCCACACACACACACACACACACAAACACACATAGAGAGAGAGAGAGATGGAGAGAGAGAGAGAGAGACATGGGAACTTACGCATAAGGGGCAGCAGCACAGCACTCGTCAGGTCCGCAGTCTTGGTTCCCTCCACATGACTTGCAGTAAGCAACCTAATGAAATATATTGACTTAGATAACAAAGAATTTCAACATAGCTCTGACATAAAACTTCGTACAGGAGTCACCATGCAGGCATTGAAGCTGCGACTGTGCTGTTATTGGAGGTGGAGGGAGGGGGTACAAAAATACAAGAGCTCCTTAGATAGGATTATTAATTGCTTGTGTACGTTTACTGTAAAACGTCTTCACAGGCAGTCCATAGTTTTCAATCTATTTATATCAGGGATTTCATTGCACACTTTCACAATTTATTTATTTATTTGGGGGGGGGAGACTTAGTCATCAACTCCGAAAAATAGCTGGACACTAGACTAGATCGTAAGACCAGTGTAGTTGCTCCTAGTCCGGGTATGTAAAAAATTAAGAACTCTTCCCAATTTCTTACATTATTTACTCACGGTGTTAAGTTAAACTCGATTTGAACGCTAAAGGCACAGAGGTTACACCAAGTTACTTAACCAAACTTTCAAAATTTCAGTTGACTCAAAGAAACGATCGGGCGCTTCTGCGCGCGATAGGTATCAGATTACAAAATATAAACTGTCTTTGTATGATATCAAGACAATCGACCGAGGTATTTTGAGTTCTGAAATTGCTGTCTTGACAACTTTGATGATAGAAGAGTCACGTACTACAACCAACAACGTTCTCGTTGTTTTCTCTGCTCCTATTGCAAATGACTTCACAACGGAAACTGAGGATTTAAATTTAAACATGAGGTAATATTTCTTGCTGAATCAGCGGCCGTAGCTCACATTGAAACTGATTCCACCTAGATTTCATATGCCATGTGATGTCCGTACAGTGCTTGTATACTGCCCCTAGCCTAAATCCCTTTCCGTGTGGAGGCAGACGGTGATCCTGTGAAATGGTGAGGGTTTACGGCCTTTCTTAAGCTAAAACTTTTGACAAATTTGAAATTGCAAGACTCCCATGGCAAATGTAATGTAATTCTCAACTTTAATCTTTCTGCATCCCAACACATTCAGTTCTCTGAATACGTATGACTATACTCTGTAGGGTTAAGGCAAGGATTCTTGATTTCAATATTTTCACCTTTTAGAGTATCACGTAGTGTACGAAGGTCTCAGTTCGCGCATATCTGAGGTCAGGATGAATACAACGAATATTTTGAAAAGTACCTTTACTGTCATCAGATCTGCGGGCACAGCTAGTACACATGCAGTTCACACGTGTTTATATCACTTCAGTTGCACATAAAAAGAACGCTTTTTAAAAATCAAGACAGAATCCTCTAGAAGAACAGCAGTGGTGCAGTCTACAATAAATCTTTATAAATGATTTTTAAAAATGAGTAAAGAAAGCATCTTGGACCAACATTATAATCTCATTTTATCATAAAAGTTCAATTAAACAAACTTACCTGAATCAAGCAAAAAATGCTCAAAACGACAAACAAGTTCATGGTGACTTCTGTTAGTAGAGCTCTGGTTTCCAAAGATTCTTTCGGCGGGATTCGGCGTTTCTTGTCGGCACCTTTCCCAAAACACAGAACCGAGCTAGCTCGCTGTTGGTTTTATAGCGCCCCTGGATTGACGTGCGCTGACAGCTGGCTGGGGCACGTGACACAGTGGCACCAGGGACCGCCTGGTGTATTGGAGGCAGAGGTGCGGGTTGTTTACGTGCCGCAAGAAGTTTGTCCGCGGAGAATCTGCTTTAAATCAATAGAATGTTTGTGAGGACAACAAGTTTCATCTTTATCAGAACATAGTTAAGTGTACATTTGAAGTCGCTGTAACCAATCTCGATTTTTAACAGCTTTGAAATAATTTTACACAGTTTTATTTATTAATTTATTATTATTATTATTTATTTCTATTTATTTATTTATTTATTTTTATTTAATTTGATTTATTTTTTATTTATTTATTTATTTTTTTGTTAAAACACCCGAACTTCACCCCTAGCAGTGGCGGATCCATGCTTTATTTTGTGGGAGGAGGCAGATTCATTATATATATATATATATATATATATATATATATATATATATATATATATATATATAATAATAGAAAAAGGCTGTTTTGCCATTGTATGCGGGGTACTGGGATGGAATCATTCCTTGGGTTGGCTTTGTTTTGATTGTTATAGCAGGGATATGGTGGTGCCTATAGCTTAGTGGAGGGGGGCACGTGACCCATTGCCTCCCCCCCCCCCCTCCATCCATCCCCGCCCCCCTGGAACCGCCATTGCTTGTACGTATCGTTGCAGTGCAGCAAAAACTACGTCCTGTCTGTCTGCTATCACATGTCTACACTCGCCATGAGGCTGTCAATCTCTCCCAAAGTCTACTGATACAGCTCTGTCCTCTTATCATATACTACCACAGTCCGGGCGTACTGCACTGCGTGGTGAACCGCGAGTCTAGTCAAGACCGCGTCCTTCTCACTTTGTATGAAACAACAATTTAAAACTCTGCCAGACACTGTGACCTTCGTTCATGTAATATAAAAATGAAGACACCATATATGATTTAAAAAATTCAATTGCTAGTATTTCGAAATTACTATTAGTATTTTTTTCTTTACATTGCAATATCGTAGACGTAAAACCCAAGTAAATAGAAAACTGAATTAAAGCCATCGGTGTCAAGATCATTCCAGTGCCAGGCAACTGATGGAGATTTGTTTTCTGTGCCGGATGTTAACGCTCACTTTTAACCTCTTGTTTTTCGGGCTTGAAACTTTACATGCTGAAAAACAACTCTTCAGCCCATTCCTGTACAAATAAACTACTGCGCTCTGCCACTCCTAGAGAGGGTAGCAGTTTGGGCCTCATGCACTGTGCCCCATGCAGCACCTGTTACAGAGTGGGAGTGAACAGCGCTTTAGTTTTCTGCACTTAGAATGACAAACATGTTTATTTGAAAAGCAAATATCAGTGCACTGGCCCTTATCAGTGCGTCATTACCTTATATTTGTTGTTTAAGGTAATGATTCAATCAGGGGCATTGGCCGTGTCTTTGATCTGCAGTGTTTGTGCTGGTTATATTCAGTCAGGGCAGGAGTGGCGTTGATTGTTATTATTATTATTATTATTATTATTATTCAAGAAGCTGGCAACCTGGCAGAGTCTCTGTATGCGAGATAATAGTTAGCTCCTCTGCTCTATTGAGAACATAGAAAGAATAAATCATACATTTCCTCGTTATTTTTAAGTCAGGAGTTTTTTCTTTCATTGTAGCACAAGATCGACAACCTCTGAAGATCCTAACTACACATACACCCGTCCCGATTACATATATATCGATATACGAATGCTTTTCAATATATTTTTGTTACATTTAAGTCGCTTTATGCTTAAAATTCTGCGGCTGCTCTGTTACTCTTTAAAATGGATTATTAGAACTCGCAGTTGGATATACTGTACACGTCTGATACAAATCGAAGGCTATGAATTAAAGTGAGGTTTTTAGTTGGTTTCCTATCCTTTGTTGATCTGAATAAGCCATTAGACCAATTAGACGTAAAGAGAGTTCTGTGCGTCTGCCAGTTCTAGTTATCCCAGTGATGGCAGGCTCCAGGCTCAGGTATAAAGAACTAGTCAGACTGCAGCGAACCAACACTTCATAAAGAACAGAATGTCTGTCGTGAATTTTCTAATTTTTGTTTTAAAAGAATATTTTTGTCAGAAATCAATTTTAAGAGTAAATAGTTTTCTATCTGGTATTTGTTACCTTTACTCTGTTTGAGTACAATGTGAAATTATACGCGTTGCTTCTTTTACGTTGTAGTCATGAAACACCATTGTGAAAGATAGCTTGCGTTTCTATAAATAAGTAAAAGAAGGCCACTATCTTCAGCTTTGCGCAGTGGCGGTACCATAGCCAATGAGGTTTATCCGAGGCGTGGTTATTGCTAGTTGAAAACTATACCCAATACCCCGTGCTGACGTCGTGAAATACCGACGGTAGCACAATTTTTGAGCGCCTCTACGGGGGCTTATAGCAACTTGTATCAAAACCTATTCATTCCTCTTTTGATAATAATAATAATTTTATTGAGCAATAAATGATATGAAAACATTTGTAGTCTCACTAGACAACAACATTTACACAATGTATAAGAAAATACATTGATATATGTTTACATATATAGTATGTTTTTGAACTGTGGTGATTGTAATTAAACGCTCGGTTTCTGCACAGCTGATGTCTTTACCCTCTCATTGTGCTAATTACTTCCATCAGAGATAACAGGCCGCTTCTTCTCAAGGTCGTTCTGCTAAAAAAAATCAACATTTGAGTCACGTTAGTGACGCACACATTTTGTGGAATATTTGCATAATTCTGCCCGATTATTTAATTTCCCTATTTTAACGCCCTCCAAATATGAAAACAAAACAACAGATATTTTACTAAAAAAAAAATGATATAAAGCAGTGCGAATGTTGCATAAATGTGTCTTTAACAGACGCAACACGACAAATATGCTCACTTTTTTGTGGAAAGGACCCCAGAAATGATTCTAGATACGCCAGTAGCTGTACGTGGGTGGATCGTTACTTGAATTAAGTCCCTTCCTGTCGCCTTGCGTCCATTATGTAAAAGATATGACGTCAAGAAACCGTTGGTAGGGTAATGTGACCGCGAGAACCGTCAGAAACAAGCCCTATATATACACAGCAGAAGTCGGTCTTGAAATTAGATGTGCAAAAACCATCGTTGATAAGCAAGACTTAGATTCATTGATAAATGACAGCAAAGGTGTACTTCTTTGTTTATTATTAACAAGCTGGTATTGAACGCAAAGGGAGGCGAAAACTCGACCATCAGCACACAAAAACAAGATAAACTTCCTCAGTGAACCTCTTCCGAAATACTAGACGAAGGGTATGTATTTGTATTTGTTATCATAAGTGTGTCGACTTGGAATGTCATTTCAGAAAAATATGTATATAAATTTTCTAGTACATGTACCAACAAAGCAGTAGAGGACGAGATTTCCCAAACCTACATCTAGTGCTCGTAATTTTAAAGAAATGTTTCTTGTTATGAAAATATATTAACACTATATTGCGAAATGTCAATAGATGCAAAATAAATTAATAAGCAATAAATAGATAGATTGAAAAAAAAATCCATGCAGAGGAGCGGAAAAACTGATGTAGAGAATATAAACCTAGAATTTGGCAATAAATTTGACGGAAACAGCCGTATAGATGAGCACATTACCAGAGATCGTTATCGACATCAGACCTCAATTTAACCAATTTAGCTCAGAGCAAATCCTGATTATATGCAACATATATTTTTTGTTGTTTGTCTGTTCATTTCTAGAGACTTAGGCCTATTCAATCGTTTATATAGCATGTTTGGGTACTTTTTTCCCCATAAAACGTGATTGTGCTTTTGCACTTTCTCCAGTTAACATTTGTTTGTTTGTTTCTTCGTTTATTCTCTCATTCCATTTGCCTTTTCATTAAATTATTTTTCATTCATTTAATGTCATTCATGCTTTCATTCCTTTATCTAGGTGGACTGAAGAATGGAACAATTTCAACTGAATAATGCACAGGCTAACTCTGTAAACAATTTTGCCTTTTTTTTTCAGATTCGTCAAATTGGCCCTCTAAATTAAGAAAGAAAGTTGTGTCCCCATCCTTAGCCCCGCCATGAAGCGGCGTCCCCAGGCCACTCCCAGCCCCCCATCATGGCAGTTCACGCTGTATGACCGTGCTTCGCCTGGAACGGAGGCGCAAAAGACCGTGCCGAAGCTGACAAAGAAATCTCGTCTTCCACCCTTGACACTGAATTTATTACGATATATGACAGTGAAGGAGGAATCGAAGCCTGTGCGGCTCCCCCAAATAATGCCTCTCAGGTCCCCCAACACCCCCAGGAGGCACGTGACCTCGGCTTTAGGGAGCTATGCCGAGTTGGATGCCAGGTCGAACACGCCGCAAGGAGGCGCATCGTATGGGAAAACCAAGACGAACCTGTCCTGGTAAGAGATATCCAAAGACACATTTTATAATTGCAATAAACTATCAAGATTTTCATTTAACATACCATGTGTGTATTAACATGGCTTGTTTATGATGAACCTTAACAACCACTGTCACCGTTCGAACGCATTAATTCTTAAACTTGAGACCGTTTGTTTGTGAGTTTGTTCTTGGTCATCGCTTTTTCCGGCGATAAAATGTAGAAGCCACAGTTTAAGAGATTTTTGGATAACTGATAAGAAACTGATTTTATTTTCATAAGGATGTTCTTTACTGTTAAAATGTAAATAAAATCCTGACGTTTTGAAATTATTAACGTCTGTGATAAAGGCTACGAGAATCCTTAAAAAACAGTGCTTACTGACCATATACCAGAAAGACCTACTGTATTAGCTACATGTATGTGATTTAAGACAATGAATTATTGTTTACAGACGTGTCGAAACCCAGTTGCTTTCATTTCTGCTGAAAGAAGTGTTTCAATGTCCATTCCTAAGCACTAGCGACCACTAAACAAGACAGCTTGTTCTAAAAATATTTGTAAGATCTCTTGTATTGAATTCTGTTTTTTTTTTTTTTTTTTCGTTTTTTGTTTTT